GGGCCTGGGCTGGGGATTCGAACCTGCCACCTTAGGTGTATGTGGCTGGCGCCTTAGCCGCTTGAGCCACAGGCGCCGAGCTGTAACCTCAAATTTTTGGGCTCAAAGAATGCTCCTGCCTCAGCCTCCCAAATAGCTGGAACTATATAAGTGAGTGCCACCACACGCAGCTAGTATTTAAAACAAAAAAAAAAATTTAGGCTTGGTGCCCATGGCACAGTGGTTACAGTGCCAGCCATATACACTAAGGGCTGCACGTTCGAACCTGGCCTGGGCCAGCTAAACGACAACTGCAACAAAAATGGCCAGGCATTGTGGCAGGCATGTGTGGTCCCAGCTACTTGGGAGGCTGAGGTGGGAGAATCGCTTGGGCCCAGGAGTTTGAGGTTGCCACAGCACTCTACCAAGGACAACATAGTGAGACTCTCTCTCTCTAAAAAAAAAAAAAAAAAAAGAGAGAGATCGAGCCTCACTATGCTGCCCCAGCTGGTTTCCAATTCCTAGCCTCAAGCAATCTTCCCACTTTAGCCTCCCCAAGTGCTAGGATTAGAGCCTGGCCTGAGTTTATGCTTTGATCCACTCCTTCTTAGCCAATAAAGTCCACAGTAGAAATGGTGTTTGTGGGACAACTATGCAGCAGTCTGATATTTGGCTTCTTTTTGGCTTATAATACCAGTTGATGGAAATAGGGAACCACAAGGAGACTAAATGCTAACCTCATTATGGACACCTGTATACCTAATGGATCACTGAGAGAGTTATTCCCGAAGTATCCTCATTACCACATTGTTGCTTTGGCCTGGATCTATCCAGGAAATAGGACCCACGTTCTTTTTAGAGGTCTATTTTTTTTTCTTTTAGACAATCTCACTTTGTCACTCTTGGTAGAGTGCCATGGTGTCATAGCTCAACAGCAACCTCAAACTCTTGGGCTCAAACAATTCTTTTGCCTCAGCCTCCCAAGTAGCTGGGATTACAGGCTCTCGCATTAATTCCTGGCTATTTTTAGAGATGTGGTCTCACTCTGGCTCAGGCTGGTCTCGAACCTGTGAGCTCAGGCAATCCACCCACCTCAGCCTCCCAGAGTGTTAGGATTATTGGCATGAGCCACCACACCCAGCTTAGAGATCTCTTTGAGGATCTCACTATGTTGCCCAGGTGGGACTCTAACTCCTGGGATCAAGTGATCCCTCAGCCTTCCAACTAGCTGAGACTAAGGTATACACCATAATGCCTGAAAGGACCCACGTTCTTTTTGCAGTTTTTGGCCAGGGCCAGGTTTGAACCCACCACCTTGGCATATGGGGCTGGCGTCTTACTCCTTTGAGACACAGGCACCACCCAGGACCCACATTCTTGGTGTCCCCAGATGTGGACTCAGTTGTTACCTTCCACTCATGAACCCTCCATCTCTTTCTTCCCCTCTTCCCCTGTAAATACCCACCCCTCAGTACTAACCCTAAACATGACTGAAATCAGTCCAAATCCAGATTCCCAGATTTTAAAAATTCTTATTAAATTTTTTATTTAAATGTACAGCCGTAGTATTCATATACTTCAGCATAGGGCAGGGGTTGGGAGTAGGTAAGGAGAGGTTTACTTAAACTATTCCCAAAGAGAGAGTAAACAGGAAAGCCACCCTTCGCTCTCAACACAGGCCCTCAAAAACCCACATCCTGAACTCCAAGTATCAGGATGTAATGGTAGGGTGCTCATTTTGCACCAAAAAAATCTCAAACAATAAGCTCCCAGGAAAGCAAAAATTCTGCTCTTTTGTCTCCTGCCTACCCCTAGGACATAATACCCTCTGTCTGGCCAGGCCATCTGTTGGAGAGATGGATATAGGAGAATGTAGCAACTACACTAGGTCTCTGATGCCCCATTTTGGAGCACTGTTGAGGTCAGTCTCTGGAGGTACTCTTGGCGTAGACTAGGCAACTGAGAATATAGCTCAAAGCCCTCTGGGAGAGTAGAATTGGGAAGCTTATAATGGAGGAGGTGCTGCCGGAGACTCTGCAGAGAGGGAAGAAACTTTATGAAGTCAGCAGTGAGATGGTACTCAGGTATGTGGCCCTCAAGACCCTCTGATCTCCCACTCTCTTAATGGCCCTGATCTTACCTCATCTGCCAGCAGACAAGTTTTCTGCAGCATACTCTGGCGGGCCACCTTTACCTCATCCTAGATGAAAAACAAGGAGGTGGCACTGAGCAAAGGGCTGGGACCCACCACAGGCCTCACCTGACCCACACCTCTTCCCTAGGTGGCCCAGGGGCAGCTCGTTTGCTAGATCCCTTCCTCCCTCTGAAGATGGGGATGTAACTTACTGAGCTCTTTGGGTCCTGGGAGAAGATGAAGCTATTGACATGAGCCACAGCCACAGCATAGAGCACGGGGCACCAATGTGGACGGAGTGCACCAGTAACAAGGACCCGGAAATAGAGTTGAAGGAGGGCCAGGTTGTCTTCAGGAGGCCCTGTGTAGCACTCCAGGGACACAGGCAACTATGACAGGGGAAATGAGAAGTGCTGAGGGGGAAGGTGGGAAATGTGTATCACTGCACAACCAGCAGGATGGTTGATAGTCACACGAAACCAAATCATAAGGGCAGACATGAGGTCCAGAGATGAGAACATTAGTCCTTCTCTAGCACTGTGCCTGGCCAATATTACAAGTTTCAAAATGTTTATTTCTTTTCTTTTTTTTTTTATTTTGGAGACAGAGCCGCAAGCTGTCCCCCTGGGTAGAGTGCCGTGGCAT